TGCCACATGTCACTAGTACGACTTTGATAAATGCCTGCCCAAGGTCGAAGTGGTCTCTTAAGAAGTGAAGGGTAGAGCCGATGAAGCTATTGAAGATCAAGGTCGAAGAGTCAGCGAAGATCAAGGTCGAAGAGTCAGTGAAGATTAAGGTCGAAGAGTAAGCGAAGATCAGGGTCGAGGTCGAGCACCTACCGTAGATAAAGTAAATAACAGTTTGTTTTAGTATAATCCATCAAAGGAGAATATTCTAGTGGATATTTTCTGTACTAGTACTATTAGGGTTTTCTAGGTATAGGTTCCCTATAAATAGAAAGAGATACAAGGGAGGGGGGGGGGGGGGGATATTCACTTGTAAGAAAATACATTGACTTTATATAGAGAATCTGGCTTTATTGCAAACACACGAAAAATACCTTTTTACTAAGATTTTTGCCTAGCTTTTTCACTTGATCCAAGAACAACCTGAATATTCTAAGGCTCATCAATCATTTATCATTGTGAGAAGGAATATCTACAAATATCATCCCTTTTTCGGGTGACTCACATATTCTTATTTACTTAAATGTCATTTATTGCTATTTATTGTTATTTAATGCTATCCTCCTTCTTTGGAGTCATTAAATATTGTTAATGTTGTCCACATTTATTGTCATTCAGTCAAACACACATATTATCTTACTATAAAATTTGTTAACATATCTTTTGAATATTAATTGGCTAAAATTGACTCTGTTTTATTTAAATATAATTGGTTGAACCCGAATCTAAATTTTGGGTTAAACACACAAAACATCTCGCATCTTGAGACTTCCACAAAAAGGAAAAACCACAAAGAAGATTGTGCTGAGGTTGCAATGCCAAGGTAGCAAACATATCCCAGTACCCAATCAAGAGGTGCAAGCATTTTCAAATTGGTGGGACAAGAAAGGAAAGGGAACCTCTCTATTCTAGATTGCCTGTGAAGTGTGATCCACATCTCTCATTTTGCTGCCTTTTATGTTATTTTGGATCTTGCCTCTTATGGCTTACATTGTTTTACAATAGATGATTTGTGTTATGACAGTGTAATGGAGAAATATTAGCGATTTGAAAAAGAAAATCAAGTTGAGTGACTTTTTATTACAATAAATAGTTTGTTAATTTTGGTGTAATAAAGTATGAATTACGTGATCATCCATAAAATTAACCCCTTATATATAAGTCTCTTTGTCTAATATAAAGTCATGGTTTTTAGTAGTAGGAAAACAAACAACCATTTATAGTTGTCCCTTCTGGACTAATAAAATCCAAGGTACATAATCTTGTTCGTTGCATTTCACTCGCTGTGACGATCCAAAGGGTCATCACCTGTTTTCTCACTCATTCTGTGTCTCCGAGGCCTTGAAAACTTCATTTAGGCTTGCCTCGATTTGCGTGCGCAGTCCGGGCGCGTAGGCATAAATATGAATTCTGTGTAAAAATTGATGAATTTTGATATTAATATGAAAAAAGTTTACTTTGGTCAACATTTTGGGTAAACGGATCCGGACCCGTGATTGGACGGTCCCGGAGGGTCCGTAGGAAAATATGGGACTCGGGCGTATGCCCGGAATCGAAATCCGAGGTCCCGAGCCCGAGAAATGAATTTTTAAAGGAAATTATTTTTCTGAAATTTATATGGAAATTTGAAATGAAAATGGTTTAGAAAGTGTTGGTATCGGGCCCGTATTTTGGTTCCGGCGCCCGGTACAGGTCGTATATGTGGTTTAAGCGCTTCCTGTGAAATTTGGTTGGAATCGGACGTCATTTGACGTGTTTCGGACCTAAATATCAAAAAATGAAAGTTCATGAAGTTTGATGAAAAAAGTGATGATTTTGAGGTTTGATACCTCGTTTTTGATGTTATTTTGGCGATTTGATCGCACGGTTAAGTTCGTAGGATGTGGTTGAGTTAGAGTGTGTGTTTGGTTAGGAGCCCCGAGGGCTCGGGAGTGTTTCGGAGGTGGTTCGGGGTGTTTTGAACTTAGTAAAAGTTGCAGAAAAATCTGATATTTTGCCCAGGGATTTCCTTCTTCGCGATCGCACTCTTACCATCGCGTTCGCATAGCTTCGTGTCCTTCTTTCTTCGCGTTCGCGTTCGAGCCCTCGCGAACGCCTATGGTTATTTGACCATGAGGGCCCAGCTTCACTCACTTCTTCGCGTTCGCGTGCATGCCACCGCGATCGCGAAGCTCTGCTGTTTCCTTCCCCGCATTCGCATTAGGGTCCACGCGTTCGCGTAGACCAATCCCAGGACCCCAGCCTTTTTCCTTCTACGCGTTCGCGTCTTACCGTCCGCGTTGGCGATGCCCTTTCTGATAACCCTTCGCGAACGCGATCCACTTCCCGCGAACGCGAAGGGCAATTTTGCCAGTGATTTTAAATACCCAAAACAGAACAGTGACGGGATTTTTCACCCAAAAACACACGAACTCATCTTCCTCACAGCCCATAGGCGATTTCTAGAGCTCTCATTCACCAAAGCTTCTTGGGTAAGTATTATTTAACTTGTTTCCTTCATTTTCCTTCATCATTTATCAAATTCTTAGGCTCAAATAATGTAATCTGGGGTTGAAATTGGGGAAAATGGGTAGAGTTAGGGCTTTTCAATCTTCTTTGATTTAGACCTCGTTTTGGGGTCGTATTTGAAAATAAATTGTATATCCGGGCTCGTGGGGGAATGGGTGATGTGAAATTGGTTCGAACCTCGGGTTTTGACCAAGCGGGCCCGGGGTCGATTTTTGGAATTTTGGGAAGAAGGCATAGAAAACTATATTTAGGCATTGGGTTTGATTTGTTTAGCTTATATTAATGTTGTAAAGTCGTTATTTCATAGATTTGATTGAGTTGGAGCCGAATTCGAGAGGGAAGGCGGTCGTTGTGGATTGATTTAGCTGTGGAAGTTGAGGTAAGTGTTTGGTCTAACTTTGGCTTGAGGGAATAGGAGTAGAGTCTTATTTTTTAAGTGCTATTTGTCGAGTACGGTGTATAGGCATGGTGACGAGTATCTATACACTGGTGTCGAGCATGACCGTGAGTCCTAATTTGCTAAATTATCGAATTTGTAATTGTTATTTATGAGGAATTGGTTGGAAATCTTTAACACTGAGCCAGTAATTGTTTAGACTAAGTGTGGATTTAATTGTGTTAAGTAGAGATTGAATGAGTTTGGTTATAGCTGGATCTCCCTTGCCGGGATAGTTTATTATATTACATTGCTCCCTTGCCCGGATAGTTTATTATATTACATTGCTCCCTTGCCGGGAAAGTTATTATAACATCTTTCTCCCTTGCCGGGATTATGTTGTGTATTGTGTTGAAAGAAATGGGATCGCGTGGAACGCCGACCGCGAGATATTATGAAATGGGATCGTGTGGCACGCCGACCACGAGATACTATGAAAAGGGATCGTGTGGCACGCCGACCACGAGATATTATGAAATGGGATCGTGTGGCACGCCGACCACGAGTTATTATGAAATGGGAACGTGTGGCACGCCGACCACGTGATATTATTCTAATGGGAGCGTGTGGTACGCCTACCACGTGATGTAAGGAAATGGGATCGTTTTGCACGCCTGCAATGAGAGGAAATTGAAATAAGTGAAAGCGGTTTGTTTTTCCTTTATTCTGTGTTAGAAGAAATCAGATGTAGTTTCTCTTTTTATTCCTGATATTCCGTTTATCTGCTTCCCCATAAGCATGTTTCCCCCCTCCCAGCTTTAATTGTTTACTTTCCGCTATTATTTTGTTGTACTTGTATATATATATCTGCACAGGTTTATCTGGTAGTCTGGTCTAGCCTCGTCACTACTTCGCCGGGGTTAGGTTAGGCACTTACCAGCACATGGGGTCGGTTGTGCTGATGCTACACTCTGTGCATCTTTTTACACAGATCACAGTACCGGAGCAGCAGCTTTTGGACAACAGTAGGAGCATTTGGGAGCCGACTTCAGTCCAGAGATCCCGAGGTAGCCTTGCTGACGTCTGCATGGCCCGGAGTCTCTTCTATCTTTACTTTTGTTTGTTATCCTTGTACCGGAACAAACAGAACTATGTTTTTTATTCAGACTTTGTATTTAGCATTCTCTAGACGTCCGTGAGTCTGTGACTCCAGTTCTTGGGTAGAGTTGTATTGAACTTCCGCATTGTTCTCCGTTTATTTATGTTTAAGACTTCCGCTTTTATATTAAATGCTTCGTTGTTTTTTTATTAATGTCGAGGTTTGCTAAAAGAGATAATAAATAGTTGGCTTGCCTAGCTCTTAATAGTAGGCGCCATCACGACTCCCGAGGATGGAAAATCCGGATCGTGACACTCACACTCTTAAGTCTAAACATAAGTTGATCTAGGAAAAACGGCCTTGTAGATATTGTGAATTACTAATATTTATATGCATCAATCAGAATATGATGACCTTATTCATTTGAGTTGCAAATCTTTGGAACTTTGAATAAGTCTCAGACATGAGCATTAATTTTCATAATTTAATTTTGTGAACTTCCGTTTCTAAAAAAATTAATTTTTACTACTACTTTGGGAAGTCAAATAATTTTTTCTTTGATTATAAAAATGATATTCAGTAATTTTACATAATTTTTGAATATGCAAGCTTTATTTTCATTAAAAAAATAGGGAATTGGTATTCAAATTAAAGCTGAAATTAGATAATTTAACCCCTGATTGCTATCTTTCGAAAATGTGGTTCTTTCTTAAATAGAGGAATTACAAGATAAGAACTTCAATACAATACATGAAATAGTAACCCTCTTTTTTCATTTGACTTAAGCAAATATGTTGAAAATTTCAGCACATTTTTCTAGATTAAGAAAAAATACTTTCTGAAATTTATATTCCCCATGTGATAAGAATAATTCAGAATTAAAGCAAAAAAATCCAGGGTTAATGATTGGAGAGCATTACAGTATAACAATACTATTTGTTTTTGACATATATACACTTGATTGCGTCACTAGTTGATGTCTACATGCACAGCTTCCCTGTCTACAAATATGGATAAGTGCTTTCACTGAATTGCACACTACTCCATATTATCCAAAGTTACTTCTTGTTTGAGAGAAAACACAGAACATGAAGCCATTAATAAGAATGAGTTTGTGGTCTTATTCAATGGCCCTTTTGGCAGCAATATTGTTCTTTATGGTGACTACAACAGAATGCAAAAAATCATGTGGATTTAAGGCTATCTTTAACTTTGGAGATTCAAATACAGATACTGGTGGTTTTTGGGCAGCTTTCCCAGCTCAGGGTCCTCCCCATGGAATGACTTATTTCAAGAAACCAGTTGGAAGGGCAACTGATGGCAGAGTCATCCTTGATTTTCTAGGTCAATATATCTGATTCTATCTCCATTCTTTAAGTTATATATATGTTGATTGTACAAGGAATTTACTTATCAATGAAATTTAACCGACCAGGTTATCACATTACTTTTTAAGTTATTTATTAGACAATTGCTATAAAGAGTTACCTATGTAATTGTAGGTAAACTTAATTTAATCTGATGGTGTGAAAAATTTGTAAGCACATAGAACATAAAACTTTTTTCTTAAACGGATCCTACTATATAATGATGCATTTCTATAGTATCTTTGCCATCTCGGAAACCAAGATTTCTTACAATTCTTTTCTTTTGTTTGTTTCATGATCATCACTAATATTGTAGTAAGGTTAAGATTTGCAATAACTTATATATAATCCTAACATTAATTGGTTTTACTTTCTAGCTAAAATGAAGAGGAGCCTTGGAGTAATGGTAATCAGGGTCCGAACCGTGAAATCGTAGGCTACCTGTATCACACCCCTTGGGATGCAGCTCTTCTCTGGACCCCACATAAATACACAAAATACTTCGTGAACTGGGTTGGCCTTTAGTTTTTTAATAAAAACTATTATTGAAGATGTAATGTATGTTACCATGGGAGTTAACTCATAAAGGATGCGAATATATTAAGAAGCATGATTAGATATTTAAATAAGAGGCCTTGAGAAGTTAGAAAGAAGATATCTTAGTCAAAAGTGTGACCATTTCCGGTAGTGTCATGTTTTTAATTGAGTTCATTACTTAATAATAACTCAACTATCTGAAATTATCTTGTAAAGTCATCTTTCTTTCATTTATAACATAAAAGTCACTTAACTATGTCTATAGCACTTAGAAGATCACTCAACCAGATTTCTCAAATTTTTGATTGTCAAATACCTATTTTATCCTCTAAATGTCAACTTTTATCTTCTTCTTTTTTTTAAAAAATTTTTTTTTTTAATATTATAATTTTTTTCTCTTTTTAATATACATTATGGACTTACTTATAGAGCAAATATATTATGTTTATAAAATAAAAAATAAAAAATTATTTGTCTAGCATATATAATGTTGGAACAATAATATAATTGTGCATAATTTTAAAGAATATAATGTATATTATAAAATATATTTATTTTAAATAATTATTTTTATATTACGTGGATAGAATATATATTGTTAATTTTTTTTTTCATTCTCAATTGTATAAATAAAGTTTTGAGATTTTGTTGTTAATATCAAAATTATTATTACTAATAAACTGTTCTAATTAATATTTTTTATTATTCCAACAATATGTATGCTTAAACACTATTTTTGTTTTTTTAATTTACAAATAAAATTTGTTTATTCAATAGGTAAGTCCATAATATAATCTAAAGAGAGAAAAAAAAATCATAATATTAAAAAGTTAAAAAAAAAAAAAGAAGACAAAAGTTGATAATTAGAGGGTAAAATAGGTATTTGGCAATCAAAAATTTGAGAAATCTAGTTGAGTGACCTTCTGAGTGCTATAAGCATAGTTGAATGACTTTGTTGTTACAAACGAAAGAAATATGATTTTAGTGGATAATTTAGGATAATTGAATGACCATTTGAGTAATGAACTCATTTTTAATTTGAGGAGCTGTAAACTTTGGACTTGACAATAGGTCATGGGATTGCAGGAGTTTGCATTTACAAGAAAACGAAATAGCCTTAGCTGGAAAAAGCAGCAAACTTGGTCCATGCTTTGTATCTTCTAGCTCATTATCATTGGAAGCTTTTGTTTGTCTATATTGGTTCTGTCCTAGATCCTTATTCTAACTATTGCACCCGTGACCGCTTCATATGCGTGCTTAATTTCAATTTACATTATTAGCCCTTTTCAGTGTTCTGGCCGATCCCTAATTCTTGGTACCATACCATATGAATCAGTTAAGTCAGTTTCGAGAATTATTGGAGGAATTAAGTAAATAGAATTGTATTATCTCGAACAGTTTAAATTTTTAGTTGAGATGATTATACAAATAAGTACAATTGAGGTCTTTGGTTCAAGCCTCACTGTCATTCGTTAATAAAAAGAATTTTAATGTGCTTCGACCATGAAAAAGTTAGATTCGCACGTAAAAATGTTTGTTGAAGATATAATTAAGTAGTATTTAATATTGTCTATTTCTTGCAGCTTAAACTTACAAGAATGATTCATTGGCTAATAATCTGGATCCTTCACACAATTATGTATTTAGGAAAATATTTGTCCTCCTTAGTTCATCAATTTATGTTTAAACCTGTAACAGTTATTTGAAAGTTTCGTTGTTCCTGATGTGCAGCTCAAGGATTAGGTTTGCCATTTTTGAGTCCATATCTGCAATCAATTGGATCTGATTACAGACATGGTGCTAATTTTGCAACATTGGCATCCACAGTGCGCTTGCCACAAACTTCTTTATTTGTTACTGGGGTTAGCCCTTTTTCTCTTGAGATTCAGCTTCGACAAATGAAAGAATTTAAGGTTAAAGTCGATGAACATGGCCATAAAGGTAAATCATATTTCTTTCCACAAATATTTCAGTAAATATAATGTTATTCTTAATCGATGTCTGAATTTTCAGGGAAAAGTAATCTGCCTTCGCCAGACATATTTGGGAAGTCACTATATACATTCTACATAGGCCAAAATGACTTCACTGGAAATTTGGCAAGAATAGGAATAAGTGGAGTGAAAGAGTATCTACCTCAAGTGGTTTCCCAAATAGCCAGCACCATCAAGGTAACATCTTTAATTGGCCTTCAATGTCCTTCTCTTTTTATCTTGTTTTTTTTTTCTTTAGGAAAACTACTAATGTGAGCCTAGTGAGCGTAAACTATTACATAGAATACACTTTTATTTACTTAATTATGTTTTCAATATTCTTTAAACATGTGGGTTTGTCTCTTTTCTTGGCTCAGACATGCGGTGATTTTTTTGATAAATGGTGTGATCATGGGACTTGAATTCAGTTACTTTAATATCAAGTTGAATTGTATGACCATTTTAGCGAAAAGCTTAATCTACCTATGAGATAGAGCATGTATACATACTAAGCTCCCGTTTGGCCATAAAATTAGGGAGCTTTTTTTCAAATATTTGTTTGTTTATAGATTTTAACCGTTTTTGGTAGATTTTGAAAACAAAAATTTCAAATCCCAAAAACAGCTCAAGAGTAGTTTTTAAAGTTTTCTACTCACAAAACTTTAAATTCTTTTCAATTAAAATGCATGTCCAAACACAATTTCAACTTTCAAAAATCATTTTTCATCTTCAAAAATTCCTTTTTTTTTCAAATTACAACCAAATCTATGTCCAAACGCTAGCTTAGTTATGTCTTCAACACATTGATCATCTCTATTCATCATGATCTTAAACTACAATAACTTCTGTTTTCTATTTTAAGAAAGACTTTTAACTCGTTTTAGAACATTGAACGAAAAGAGAGCTATAGGATATTGAAGGTAGATAATTGCTGAGGAAGCGCATGACCATGAATCTGTTCTCAAACAAACAGAATGCCTATAATTTGATGTTAGTTCTGTTATATTTGCCAGGAGATATATGCATTAGGTGGGAGAACATTTTGGGTGCTAAATTTAGCACCAATTGGATGTTACCCTGCATTTCTGGTGGAGCTGCCACATAAAACTTCTGATATTGACCAGTTTGGTTGTTTAATATCATACAATAATGCAGTGGTGGATTATAACAACATGCTCAAAGCAGCATTGGCAAAAACAAGAAAAGAAATTGCTGATGCAAATGTGGTATACGTGGACACTCATGCTGTACTCTTGGACCTCTTCCAACACCCTACTTCTCATGGTATTTGTTTTCCTTTTCTATTTAAGATAAGATGCTGAACCGTCCAAAATTCTGTTTTGAATGCCGCAAAACCTGTTATTTTATCAATTTAACGCTTTAAGGCTAAAAAGATACTGGTTTTCTGCACATATGGTTTGGCAAACATCCACCGCATTTTAGGCCCCGTTTGGTCATGATAATTGGAATACTGAATTTTAGTATTTCAAATAGTGAAGAAAAATATTTGAAGACAATTATTAGGAAAAAATCTTATTTGAAGATAATCATAGTTTAGAAAAAAAGGATTGTCCTGCTCTTCAAATAGTAAAAATTGTCATTCTTTATTTAGTGACGGAAGAAATATATCGTAGTGAAAATTTTGCTTTTTGTGAAATTGTCAAATTAAATGTTAGTTAGTTATTAGGACTAATGTGGAAATAGTAAAACTTAGGGGTGTTATTTGGAGTAATAACCAACTTAGTCTATAAAATGACTAAGTCGGTTATTACTGTGCTTAACCGAAAATAAGAGCCTTGAGCTCATTCTACTCTCTTCTCCTTTCTTCTATGAAATCAAAGATCTGTAAGCTGAATTGTTCTTGCATGTTATAATCCAGCTGTAGTTCGATTAATTCAGTACAAATTAACACTTTTGCAGGGCTAAAATATGGAACCAAAGCATGTTGTGGATATGGTGGTGGTGCTTACAATTTTAACCAGCAAATATTCTGTGGAAATACCAAACAAATAAATGGAACTATAGTGACAGCCAATGCCTGTGAAGATCCACAAAATTATGTAAGCTGGGATGGAATACATGCCACGGATGCAGGAAACAAACTATCTGCATATGCCATTTTAAATGGTTCTTATTTTGATCCTCCTTTCCCACTTCAACACATTTGTGATGTCCAGCCTATAGATTGACACTGTTGTTTCTTGTGTTTAGCAGTAATATACCATAACTCGTGAGTCATTTAATAGCAAAATGAATGAACCTTAAATTTTCTTGATGCTTTGATTATTTATTTATTAATAATATCATAATGGTGGTGTCTTCATCAGCTAGTGTGTACCCCTATTATTTCACTAAAGGGTTAGATTTATCCCGGGATAAATTTATTTTATCAATCAATCATAGTATAAACTTAGTCCTAGACGTAATTCTAGATATCTCATCTTGTCCCATCAAATTTGGTATTATTTTATCCTATCTCCCAGGTGGAATAAATTAGTCTAGGGATTATAATCTTAGGACTATAATTTTGGGATAATTTAGTCCGCTTACCAAACAACCCCTAACTACTTGCTAAGCTAAATCGTAATCAAATTAAAAGAAATCACCTAACTTTTAGTTTTTGCTGAAAAGAAATCTCGTGACGCTTTGATAATTATCATAAGATTCATTGATCCATAGTTAATAACTTACTGATCACTGGGCAGCTAGTCTATTTTGTTAATTTTTTTTATTTATCAATAGATAATTGATCATAGCTATGGATTTAAATTGACACCAGATTTTGCAAAATTGAGGCCCTTCGTCCTTCACCGTGTGGTTGAAGGATCGAATCCGTCCCCCCTCACAAAAAAAAAAAAAATGAACCATGACGCACCCCTAAAACGATTCGAGAACTCCACAAAACACCCATGTGAGTTCTGAACAAAGGAAAAATGTGACAAAAGAATACGCCTTGAGCTTACCTTAATCTCAAAAAAATATAACGTGACCAAAAACCCATTAATCCAACGATGGGGGAACTCAAGAAAATAGCATATTTGTTGGAGGGAAAAAACAAACAAAATGCCATATTCCAGAAGAAGAAAAAACAAAGGAAAAATGGCATCACCACTCTATAAACATGGCTCACCCCTCAAATAATTCCCAAACTCCAATAAGTGGCGGAGGCAGGATCTCCACGAAGGGGGTTCAAAAATTTTTTTGCAGCTAGTGGGAATTGAGAACCCACGACCTTATGTAGATTTTGAACACCCTTGACCACTAAACTACACTTTTGGATTGTGTTAAGGGTGTTCAAAACTTAATATATAGAAGTAAAATATAGATTTTGCCTTATATATACAATGTAATTTTTCGGTTGCGCCCCCTAAATCCGCCCCTGACTCCAACCCATTGACTTCTTTAAAACTATCATTAGTGCTAAGGAGGCTGGATTTTTTTAAATTTGGAGTAGAGAACACAGGCGCTTTGATTATTCAAAAGAGAGATCTTGAGGAAATTTTATTTGCTATTCTTTCGATAATTAAGAATCAGAAATGTGATTGACTTTTTACTTTTTAACACAGAAAAATTCAATGTGCATGCTTTGGCACGAGAGTAAATCAACAGAGAAATATTCGCGATGTGTTTTTCTTCTTTCTTTTCAGACGGGGCTTTTAAATACTCCTAGAAGATATGGTTTTAGTTTAATCATGTCATGTGGATAATGCGAATTTGTTATTTACTCGGAAAAAAAAAGCACCAGTTGTTGTTTGTGGACTATCTGAATTAATTTGAGTGTTAAGGTCAACCGCCTGTTATTATTTACTATTATATTTGTGAAAGATTTCCATAAACCCTTATTTACACATACATGTGTCTGTATCAATTAGTTGTACTGTTCTCCCACCTAACCTTAACAATAAAAGCTCAAATTTTAAATTGAATTATTTTTAGATATAAAAATACATCATTTTTTAAAATAGATTAATAAGGATTAATAATATCACATAAAACGGACGTGTGAATAATATTGTTTTCTCTAAGGAAAACTATTCACCGTTGTCTGGGGCGGCCCGACAAATTTTATGGCCTAAAGCCGAACTTTATGAGGGGCCTTAACTTTTAAATTTTTTTATTTATTTATTTAAAATCTATTTTTTTTAGCTTTCTTAGATACAAAGCTATTAATACTTTTCTTATAATCAATAACTTCGAATTGATGGATTATTATATGCAGCGGAAGCAATTCCAGTATCAAAATCACATGTAATCTAGACAACTAGCATAAACGGGATTTCACGGGTTACCTCTTGAAGCGTGAGCAAAACTCCTTTATCACGTGAGCCTCCAATTCTACAGCAACTCAATGAATTCTCCACCACCCGCACGATCACGATCTCCGAACGTTCCACGGTCTTCTACTGTGTTACCCAAATGATACCTGGAAATAGTAATTTCGTGTGGGCGAAATTTCTAAGGAAAAGTGGCTGAAGTTCAGCCACCATGTGCTCCCCTTCTAGGTGGAAAACCTTATGTATTTATAGCACAAATTTTAAGGGTTAGAACCCTTTTCCAAAACCTGTTGGGTTTTCTTTTCCACCAGAAAAAGGATTCCTTTATTTTCTATTATTTAGGCACAGCAGGGACCACAGAATTTAATTAACAAAGGCTTCCAATTATGGAATTAATTTATAATTTTCGAAATTAATATCCACCATAATTAATTACGAATTATTCCACTAAAAGTTCGTAATTGCACTCCTTATTCAATTTCGAAATTCATCAATTAAATCTTATTTAACTCCCCATGTTAAGATTCAGATACTAATCAATTAAATTAAATTACTGACGATTTAATTTATTGATTATTTTCTTTAGACTTTCGCTTAACTTATTTCACGTGTCGGATACAAAATCCACCGGCCCGGTTCACACATAAAAACTTATAAGCTTTCATAAAGGTGTATCATCAATCTCTAAACCGAGACATGAATTCTATCAACTAACTATTACTTCGCTAATGTACATTATTATTATCCAATTTACCAGGCATATTGACCCACGGAAGAATCTCGCCTTTTAATAAATCAAAACAATAATAATATACACAGCTAATAATAATTATATCAATATTAAGAGTATAAGTACATTTAATGGCTAGAGAGTTTATTTTATTAAGTCAGTATAAAATACTTATCTCTACTTGGTCCGTTCAATACATACAAAATGTACTAGCACAAGAAGTTGGAATTAAATCATTCCCATAATCAAGATAAATTATATTTAATCTTGTGCTACAATCATTCCTGATGGTTTGTCCAAGTCCATCATTAGATTGTGAACTCAAACTTTATACTTATAAGAACCGATGATTTAATCTTCCGTGTATAAGCTAAACTCTATACACTAAATCATCTACTATATAAGCAAAGGACACCGACTAATATATGATCTATTAAAACTTTATTAAAATTGAATGAACAATATTATCATAATAAATACTATATCTAAACCAAATCCATGGTTAATAGTATATATCCCAACAATCTCCCACTTAGACTTTTAACCATGACAATTGTCAGAATATACTATATCTAAACGCATGGTTAATAGTATATGCCCCAACAATCTCCCACTTAGACTCATAACCATGCATCTACAACTTTCTCAGGCATTCTTTTACATGACTATTAAACATCTTCACCAAATAAGTTTTTGTTAAAGAATCCTGCCAAGTTATTTCTGATGCAATATTTGTCCAGTAGTGCTTTGTCGTAACCATCTAGTTTGGTATTAAACTCTTCAGGGATCCTGTTACTGTAACTATCCCAAGAGTGTACGCCGAACTATGATTTTCTTTAGCATTCTCCCATTACGACGAAGTACTACTAATATTACCTTCATTACCTTACGACATTGAAATATTAGTGACTTCTTACTATAGTGTTCACTGTTCAAACATCACTCCCACTCGATAAAGGCATATTATGTCTATTAACGTTCTCCCACTACTCAAATGCAATGGAACGTCAATTCTGACTTGTGGGTTTTGATGTTCTTGAACGTCAATTTGGCTTATTTTTGGATATTCAATAAACATGCACCTTCCATTATTAGTTCCAACTTACATATCCGCTTTCCCTTTTAGCACATATGCAGGACAATCCTATATCTGAACATGCCACAGACTGAGCTTACATTTAGTCCACTTTTCTACAGATGTCCCAGGTACTAACTTAGAAGAAACTAAATTTAGAATGCGATTTGCAGTTTCTAGGAAATATTCCAAATACAAATAAGGCAATCTGAATAACACGTCATTAATCTATCCATGTCCAAAAGAGACTTATTTCTTCTTTCTACCACACAACTCTATTATGGAGTTTACGGTGTAGTCAATTGAGATGTAATCCCTTATTCTGATAAGTAACAAAAGAACTCTTTAGAGAGGTGCTCGCTACTACAATCAAATTGCAGTAACTTAATATATTTCCTTGGTGCTTCTCCGTTTCAAGTCTTAAAATCTTGATTTACTTAATTCATTAAGACTTACGGTGCATCAAATAAATATATTAATATTTTGAGTAATCATTTATGAACGTCACAAAAATACTCAAAACTATCTCTCACCAGTATGCTCATTTAACCATACAAATCAGAAGGAATTCATTCTAGCTTATCACTAGCTTTATTTCCTTTTGAAGGGAAACAACCTTTAGTCAAATTTCCTTCCAAACAGGATCTACAAGTTGGTAGTGCCTCTACTTTCAATGAACCTTAAGGTCCATCCTTGACCAACTTGAAATCCTATCTAGAGTAATATGACTTAGACAAAAGTGCACAGATAAGTTTTACTCAATTTTGAAGAACATATTCTCTTATGAGGTAGACTATTATTATTCTATTCAGGAGAGACATTAATATACAATAACAAGGTCATGCATTCATGCACCACAAGAGATAAAATATTTATCAAGCTCAATAACTCAAGAGTTATTCGAAAAATAAAACAAATATTCATTTCTTCTTATTTTGCCCAGAAACCGGAATTAAATTCCTTCTAACAAAAAGTATATATATTGCATCCTTTAAATTAATTTCTTATCACTAAAAAAAAAAAATTAACAAGTAATGCGACAAATTACATAAAGTCATTGTGGAGTTGAGATAAAAACATTAAATAGATCATAATAAGTCAAAACACTGAATACTAAAATTCAGATTGCATTCAATATTTATGTACATACATGCATCTCGAATAATAAATTTCGATGGGAAAAGAATCATTCATGCAAAGTATATTATATAATGCAAGAATTATACAATCCAAAAATAAATAGAACC